CACAACGCCTTGTTATATTTCACTGGTTGTCAGAATAACCATTCATAGTCGTTGTTGCTAGACGTATTTGCGTTTATGAATTGGTCTACAATATTGTCAGCCTAAAAAGACCAACATAGTTTAGATAACCAAGCTACACATCTAGATAATATCAACAAGTATAATTACTAAACTCTCAGGCATTTTGTGGCTAAACAAACATTTGAAATCTAAATCCTGGAACCTACCACCAAAATTCACACTAGACGAATTGAAGTTTATAAAATAATCAAGCATCTCTAGTTCTTTAACGCTACAAACGTCCGCTATTTCATAAGCACAGAAAACAACAATACATATTTACAACTGGCTGATACTTAATCAATATTATAATTAATTAAACATTATGGTTTCAGGATATCTTCATAAAGCATCGTCATGACATAACAATCTCGTAATATGATTGATAAAATTGATGAAACTGTTAACAAAATCGGTCAACAAATAGACTTGAAATTATCACTAAATAGTGTTGTTTTCTCGTTATCTTCATCCACTGAAGATTGTTACATTATGTTTCTCTATCGGTTGCTCATTCAGTATATATCATAAAACTGTCAGATTAATTGGAGGTTTAGCGACACTTTCATGCATGCAAGTCATCAGTATTAGAAGGAGAGATCATAATAAATGTACCATTTCTTATATATTTCAATGAGTGGAAAAAGTGCATCATTGACGTTTCATGAATGAATTTGGGCAATTTCTTTGCAGAGTAAATAAATAACCGAAATTCAATCAACAAAAATATAACTTTGAACGTAACAGTCCAATAAAAGATGAATTGTGTTGATGTACGCATCAAGACCTATTGTGATTCCTTGCAATCTTGTCACTTACCTACATAAAATGAAATTACTTCTCGGCATAAATAACAAATATTCTCGGAACCACCCGACTGACATTTGCGTGCCTCGATTGCAGATATGGACACGTTGAAATTTGATTGTTCATTCGATTATGTTGTGGGTTGAATAACACGAATAATGGGATAGTGAAGGACACAAGAGATTGAAGACAAATTTCAATGAACCACGGAACCTAAAATTAATACTTATGATTTGTTACTACTCTTATTGCTATTGTTCTTTCCATAGAAGGAATACCAATTCATGTTGTTGACTGTTTATGAAAGAAAAGAAACTAAGTGGATGATATCAATATGATGTTGAGAAGGGTCAGCTGCCTACTAAAACGTAACACAATATATCACTATTCGATTAAGGTGATTTCCATCATAACATAAAGGTTTGAAGAAAGAGAAACGTATGTCATGAATGAACAAAATTATTCACTTTGAACATTTCTGTGTATCATCAGTCTGTTTGAAAATTCTAAAGAGAATCCGTAATGCTTATAAAAATTGCTGAGTCTTGCACTTAACTGACAGCATCATTCCATAATCAATGTAGGCAGTATATATTTGTTTACAATCCACTGTCAAGATACACTAAGGCATTTGTAACTACTAAAGTATGCTTTGAAAAGTTTTAGCCACTGAATATCAGTGAAGATGAATTGAGAACAAATCAGACCAAATGAGCATCGGAATGCATAACTGTCAGGTTTAGTGTTTCAGTATGACAGTATGCAATCAACGACGAAATAATGAATTTATGAGTTCGTAAATTTTACAGTAGCGTGTATTTGCTACAATGTCATTGCTTATTGTGTCTTAGGTTGTAATAAACTACTACAGACTAGTTCATTGCATTGTAGACATCAGATGTGTTTTATGCGTTTGGATTTCATATATAAATTGGTGACCAGAAATCCATATTGTTCATTATCTCACTAAAAAATCATAAAGCGATATCTGGCACTGGACGTTTGATCAACATTACGTGATATTTCGTGCATGTCATCACCCGTGTTTGCTTCGTGAACTGAAGATTATTATTATTTTTCGTTGATGCATACAAATTGAAAAAGATAGGCTAGGATTAATGGAAAGCAATTGAAACAGTGATTGTGATAGTTGTAAATCTTGTTACAAACAATCTTCTGAGTTCGATTGAGCAACTCCGTCAAATAAACGTTACAATTTATTCATCATTTGCATTGTTGCTTACACTCATGTCATTTTCTGTTTGCGTTATTTAAAATCCAAGAAATTCATCAGTTAGTGAGATTTGAAGCAATTCAGTTGATTGATTTTTATCAATTGAAAATCATTTGTATCAAGACGTAGTGATAGTTTTACACCTTAACCCGTAACACCCTCGAATATCAAAACATGCCAACCCAGTGAAATCAGATGTCAGAAGCGAATAGATTGGAAGGTATATTTGGTGGGCTATCAAAATATTGGGAAGTGGCTGACCTATAATGTCTGCAATTTAGATGATTATTATAAACCTCAAGCAATAATGATGAGACATGAATCATCGTATTTCTCAAAGTTTGTAGTGACACTGTATTTACTGATTTACTAAATAAAACGATTTTGACAAATTCTATGACCAAATCTTGCATACAAAATATCCCCTTGATATTCTGTCGCATTCTAGCTAGACCAGAATATTTTGCATTGATACAGCGTAAGGAGTTATAAAGGTTGTACTTTCACAGTTTAGCATTGGGATACATTTATTGAACTGAAATCTGATCACTACTTCAAGCACAGTATCAATCACATAGATTGAGTGCATGTGATCAGAATGGTTTTGTGTATGGTTACATGACGAAAATCTACATAATATTAAGAATCCGAATATAATTTTATTGAATAATGTGATATGTAATTATCGAGATGAACTGGATGGCTTACTGTTTGTGCTGAACAAGTAGAAACTAGATTTTATTGTGAGCTGATTATCTTCAACACTATTTCAAGTTTTGAATTACCAAGAATATTACTAACCGTTATGAAATGATGATAACACACATGAAGCCTCCTAACAGTTAAAGTCAGATCAATCTATTTTCTCTAAACTGAGCTATATTCGTGTTGGATATTTGTTGTAGTATGAAATGTATGCATGTTTGAAATGTACGGACTAACTATTCATGTACAACCATTTATAGTTTTGATGTGTGTCACCTGGCCTTTAGATGACAGGTTGCGTTAGACAATTGAGATTGAATGCTGGACAGGTGAATCTCGTTATTATACATTGATTGCAAATTGAAAACGTGGGTGCTATATCTCACATTTTTGACCTTCACATTAAATCATGATAGAAGTTCTGAAAAGAAAAGTTGACAAATAGACCGTTTCATGAGATAAATAATCATTTCACCAGGTCATAGTTCCATGGAAACACGTGATTAGTTAAGTGAAGATTGATGAAGTATGTTTTATGATATATTCTCAAATGTGTGTTTGCTGAATCTATGCCCCACCTGGCACTTGTCCGTCCCTTTTCCAGACACATAATTGAGCACATTCATTAGTGAACTCTTTTGATTTGACATAATTGGCACTCTTCAATCGGAAGGATGCCATTGCATTGTCAAACTGTGAATGTATTTGGCATTTATAACACATACTTCTATTCAAAACACATCCTCGGTGCACAACCAAATATATGAAGGAAGACTTTAGTATCGTTCGTCGCAAACAAGTACGTGAGCAGTTTGACATTATTTTTGAAATCCTTGGTAGAACAGATCCTGAGTCAGTGCAACTTCTTCGAATATCCACCTGCGAATTCTAATGAATGACATTTCATTTGAGTTTAGAAGGCACAATCTGCTCACGTGTACGTTGTTGTTTGTTTAAAATATTTAATGATAAGTTCCATGTTTATTGCAATGCACCGTTGGTGGAGATCATGTTGTATGTGCGACGTTAGTTAGACTTGTTACAGCCTGAACTAAAAATGAGATTCTGAACATTTAGAGAAAACTGTTTCTATCGATATTTCTTCACTGGTATTTCACTTTTATTGTGATATATTTGAATCTGTTTATGTTTAATCATGAACTCAATTTACACAAATGTCCTAGTGCAGACGAAAGTGGGAACAATGAGCTCTGACTCTCGAAATACACTCTCTTTGCCACGTGTATGGAGTCAGTATCAGGGAGGTCTTACTCTCTGCATTCTCAGGATGAGGACGTTCTTTATGAAGATGAACGTCCGATGCTGCAATCGGGTTGCTGGAATAGGAGGATGCATTCGGGAAAGTTGGAAAACCGTGGGTCCAGACCAATGATAGTTACCACTGCAGTTATATTCGTTGTTGACTCTCCACTCAAAGATCAATTTATTTGAAACTATCAAGTCAAACTACAATAATAATACCTCATAGGTAATTCAGTTGATTAAAGCGACCACCATTATGATTCACTGAAGGAAGATGTCTTTGAACAAACTATGTGAACAAAACTACCAGTTCATATTAGAGATGTTCGTGACAAATTCCACCAGCATTTCGACGAAATAGACACACCAGTTTGTACAAATTAAATCGTATTGTTCATCGTAATTTAAATGTTTTATTATCGATTGATTTTTAATACAAAACTTACTGAACGTAACCATGAAATCAGTCTGATGTCGAAACAAATGTTCAGAGGTTAGAAGCCTTACACAAAACATGACATTTTAAAAACAAACCATCGGTGAGGTGTTCTATACTAACTTCTGCGGAGTCGTATGATTGAACTAAACAGCCAACTATCGCGTTCTATTTTCCAGTGAGTGTTTCAATCAGATCACTCAGTAATGTGTGTTATTGAAAAATAACATTTACTGTACTAAATGCTTTTAAATCGCATCACAAGATAATATAATATATTTGCATCTAACTAGTAACCTCATGCTTGCTTTATTCAAATGATTTTTGTACTAGTTTATTTACGTCACGTTCAGTTTATCTGATCATCTGATCTTTGTATTCGTGTCAAAAACAATCATTATGAATCTGATCAGATTTATGATAACTTGGTTGGATGAAACTCACAGTCTCATTGTAAAATAAAAGTATAAAAGCAGATGGGTATGTGATTGCTACAATTGACGTGATATCGTAGTCTGAAAGTAAGTTATTGAAAGACTCAGCATTCAATTACTGTCTCAGTAGCATTTTGTAATTTACCTGTAAAATATGAACTAACACTGATGTACAATTTGTCAATAACAGAAACATTTATATATAACAAAACGTTGTGGTCGACAAAACTTATCAATCTTGTAAAGAAAAATTCATCATTATCCAGTGGAGTTCACCAATCAGAGTGGATGAGTTTGGCGCAATGTTGAGAATTGAATGAAGTTAGTATTTTGGACTGTGAGAGGCGGGACTGGTGATCGAAACCTTAAAGACTCGACATGATTCTCGAAGCAGTCATGATGGAACACTGCTCTGGAGGTTCATAATGTGACAACAAGTCAAATCTACTGATCATGAATCTCCCACAGTTGTTACCTGAACCCAGTCACTGATGAAACATTATGACTTGGACAATCTCCACATATAGCTAACAAATATTCTATGTGTAGTAAAAGCTGTTCAATATAAACTACGATGCATTGTCAAACATCATTTCAGCAATTCACTCGATGTATTACGCAAAATAGAATCAGTATTCACCGTATGAAACAGAAATTTAAATATTCGACCAAGTGAACCTGGTCAATAAAATAGTTAAATAACACATGAGATATGTAGGTTGATTCTCTCACAGGTGTATGGATAGTGGAAATTTAACATACGATAAAAACGTTCCGTCAATCTTTATTATTTTCTGAGGTAACATGTACAGATGGAGCAATTAGACCGGCTTTAACTTTTAGATTTTTAATAGAAAAAAGTCAAATAATCAACCATTTTTCAATATATGGATCTTCACTAACATGTATCGGTCGAGATTTTATAATTTTTATGGTTACTCAATTCAAACACATGTTATCGTTGTGAGAGTTTTCTTCGTCTATAGACCACCGGTTCCGTACCCCACGTTGTCAGTGTATAATATCCAACAATCCGCAACGTTCTGTGAATGTCTCACTTCATACGCATGACAGCCTTTAAACTTAACGTTTATTAAAACGTTTTTTTACCCTACAGTCAAATGTTTGAAATTAATTTGAAGCTGAATCACCTCCGAATGATGATCAAAAATACGTCCGTTGTTGTTTTAATATGTACAACTCTACTGATGAATACTCACAACGCTATGGAGGGAAAATCATCATACAAAACCTACTTAAATCGAAGTGGGTTATTCAACAAAACCCTTTTCGACTTCACTGATACTAATAACAAAGAGGTATTTACAGGTTGGACAGAGTATTCACATACAGCTCAAGGATCTAAAGCCACACTCGTACCACTTCACGGACAGGTAAATTTAATTTATATATGCAATTTAACTGACACCATGTTTAGAATAACCAATCAGCCATATTCTTCTATCTACTCAACTCACGATCAAATGGATCGAGTTTTGCTGGCGTCCATAAGATATTTATTGATCCGGTTTGGCCAGTATATAACGGTGTTGTAATTGATCTTCATAGAAAAGGACTGGATTCCAATTTCAAACTGATGTTCTACGGAAACTGTCAGGATATACAAAATTGTGTATCATATGAGTCAAATTTCAAGGTAATGTGAAATTCAGTTATGAAGAGTCATTCAATGTGTTTTCTGTGAAATCTTTATAGACATCTGGCGTACGACAACGAATAGAACTACCAATTAGCAGACATACACAGCGCTTCCATAGTAGACAGAATTCCATTCCATTCTCTTCAAACTTAAACCAAGTTTCTCGATTCGGAATACAAGCATATACAAGTAGAAATGAGACTGAAGAGCACTTTGGTGTAGGTTCTATCGAAATATTCACTATTTCAATATATAAAGAAGATCGAAAGTCAGTTTGAATAAACCGAGCTTATATGTAATTTCGACCACTTGATATATAGCACTTATTGATACATTGGTAATTTTCGTTTACATTAAGTGACTTTGTCAATAAATACAGCATATCAACCTGTTAGTATTCAATGTTTTCATGGGTTCATTATAGTTCACAAGAGCGTCATAGAAAGCAAACTGTGATGTAACTCGAATGGCTGAACAGAAATGCATTCAAATATTTCCTGATTACCTCGGAGTAACCATGAGTCGTTGTATACAAATCGAACAACGTTTACTTTCAAGAACCAAACCAATTGGTGATATTTAAAAACATGACTTTCTGCAAAGTAATCGTTTTTAAAATGACCGATTATCAAGCTGTATACTTTTATATAGATATTAAGAACATTTCACTAGATCACGTAATATGAATAAAAACAATAGACTAAATAAATAAGTTTCGAGCTATCACGGAAATGTAGAAAGATGATTAACATGTGTATGTAATTAAAGACACATTTAAACAGTATTTCACAATTATAATAAATTTATATTCTGAAAAAATAATAATTACAGAATTCAGCGAAGAAAATTTTCTTTTCGACGAAATCATTTACTTTAGCTGTACATTCGTATATATAGTTAGATATGGAATATGTATGTCTATAGAAGGATAGAATGGATTGTATCAAAAAGTGGATTCGACAATAAATAACAAATGAGGTTAACGTACTAATCAAGGGGTAAGGAAGAACAAAATTTAAGGGTCAGATAATAGTCCAATTGACAGATATGAAGAAAAACAACAAAACAACAAAGGTCATAATAATAAACTGAATGATAATCAAGAAAACTTGTAAAAATTAATAATAATAAATGATAAGAGTTTAAAGTGCAAAATAGTAATTTAAAAATATGGATAATAATAAAAGTGCATTTAAAAAAACACCTGGAAACATACCCATTAAGGCCAGGGAAGGATCAGAGGTTGGACAAATCGTTTCTGCACGCAAAGTTCAGGCTTTAGTTTGTGGATTGCCAATGCCTCTGCGGTGCATAAAATATTGATTCGAACCCTCTTCGATCCAGTTCCTTTGACTACGTAAACTATTTTAAACGAAGAGTCTTTTGAAGCGATATGTCCACAGTTGATTAAGTGCTCCTGTAGAGAACTCGTGATTGTTTTTCGCTCCCCTTTCGAAAGCCAAGCCGGATAATGTTCCGAGATGCGTTTGGATAATGATCGCTTTGTGCGGCCTATGTAACATGCCCCACATGAGCAAGTAAATTTATAGATACACATTGAAGTGGCCCAAAGCGAAAGTTTGTCCTTAACACACCCCAGAATGGTAGGTCGGCTAAAGAAGAAGATTCGAAGCTTAGCTGCGTGGAATGTTTTATTCATTGATTTCGAAATCCGTTTATTTAGGATTTCAGCAGCTGTATGTCCCTTAAATTCCATATTCATGAATAGAGTTTTTTTCTCTACTGTCAAAGCTTTGTCATGAGGTCTAGGTACCAAGTTTCTGTCGATGAATCTCGGTGGATAACCATTTTTGATGAGGGTCTGTCGAAGATAAAACAGTTCCCCATCTATTGTGTCGTCGGAACAAATTCGTCTGATCCTTGAGGACAAAGAATGAATTAAGTTCCTTTTTCTAATTAATGGAACCCAACTGTGGAAGTTCGTGTATTGTCCATTCCAAGTGGGTTTTCTGTATATCGATCTCTGTAATAAACCGTCAGGCATTCTTTTTAAATGGATATCAAGAAAATGAAATTCCTGGTTTTTCTCTGCTTCTAAGGTGAATTGGATTGATGGGTGACAATTATTGAAAATATTCAAGATATCATTGAGGTCACTGTCTTCTTCGCAAATAATGAAAGTGTCATCCATATATCTTTTATATAAATGAAATCTTTCAATTATTGGTCGAAGTACCGAATTTTCTAGGTTCGCCATAAAACAATCAGCCAGGAGAGGACCCAATGGAGAGCCCATTGCCACTCCATCTATTTGTTTATAGAAAATATCATTAAATATAAATTGCACGTTGAGCGTACATCTTAGAAGTAGTTCTTTAAGGTAATGTATCGGGATACGCATATCAAAATTATTGTTTTCAATATAGTCACATAGAAAGCAAATGGTTTCTGTGAGGGGAACATTTGTGAAAAGAGAAGTGACGTCTAATGAGAATATTTTTTTTACCGGATACATTGATATTTTTAATGCAGTCAACAAATTCAAAGGAATCAAGAGAACTGTGTTTGTTCATATGATTTTTAACAGGTTTTAGAATGTTAACTAACCATTTAGCGATCAAATGATAGGGAGAATTGTTCATATCCAGTATAGGACGTAGTGGGTTATTATTCTTATGAACTTTTGGTAGTCCATATAGTCTTGGTACAACAGAACCAGATGGTTTGAGGTGTTCATAGAGGTCATGATTGATAATATCCTCATCTTTCATTTTTTTCAAAATTTTAATTAGCATTTGTTCAGTTTTTTCAGTAGTGTCTTTTTGAACGTTCTCAATAGAGAATTTGACAGGATCAGATAATATTGAAGACATTTTTGTAACATAGTCAATACGATCCATAAGAACAATTCCTGCACCCTTGTCTGGGCGGCATAAAACTAAGTCCTGATTTCTCCGAAGATCAGATAATTGAGATTTATGTTCTTTTGTGAGTAATCGGCTAATTGCAGGTATTTTATTTACATACTGATTACAACAATCCACAAGAGTTGTTTTAAAATGCTCAAAATCCTTATTAGACACTGGAGTAAGGTCATTTGTCTGTCGCATGAGGCTTTTAAACTGGATTTTCGCGTTGAGTTCATTAATGCTAGTAGACGTGCTACAAAATTTAGGACCAAGGGATAATGCTTGTAGCTGAATAGTCGATAATGTTATACTTGAGTAATTGAAAACAAATTTCTCTGTAGATTCGGGAAAAGAAGCTTGCGTCTCGGTCTGTTTTAGACTTTTTATTAATTTCAATATAACATCTTCAGTACGATTTTTACTAACAATATCAATGTATTCTTGGAAACTGAAACGTTGATCTTTTGACAAATCAAATAATATAGGTGAGCGTAATGAGATATTTCGTTCTAGTTCTGGTATTCTAGACTTAATTTCATCGACATAATTGAGAGTAAGACGTTTTAACGAACGATGATTTGGATGGATATGGTTACGGCGTAATGATTTGAAAAATGGTCTCGGATATTCGCGTTTGTCTATACAGCTTCTCAGAAAATTGATTCTAGTATTCGCTATAGCAAGCTTGACAGAATAACCAAGAAACCCACTGAGTTCCTTCACTGTCACAGGATCCGTGCAACTTTTCAGATAATTAAAATAACCCATAGTGTCATTGAATAAGAAAAAGAGAATTCAGCGAAGAAAATTTTCTTTTCGACGAAATCATTTACTTTAGCTGTACATTGGTATATATAGTTAGATATGGAAAATGTATGTCTATAGAGGGATAGAATGGATTGTATCAAAAAGTGGATTCGACAATAAATAACAAATGAGGTTAACGTACTAATCAAGGGGTAAGGAAGAACAAAATTTAAGGGTCAGATAATAGTCCAATTGACAGATATGAAGAAAAACGACAAAACAACAAAGGTCATAATAATAAACTGAATGATAATCAAGAAAACTTGTAAAAATTAATAATAATAAATGATAAGAGTTTAAAGTGCAAAATAGTAATTTAAAAATATGGATAATAATAAAAGTGCTTTCTATGTGACTATATTGAAAACAATAATTTTGATATGCGTATCCCGATACATTACCTTAAAGAACTACTTCTAAGATGTACGCTCAACGTGCAATTTATATTTAATGATATTTTCTATAAACAAATAGATGGAGTGGCAATGGGCTCTCCATTGGGTCCTCTCCTGGCTGATTGTTTTATGGCGAACCTAGAAAATTCGGTACTTCGACCAATAATTGAAAGATTTCATTTATATAAAAGATATATGGATGACACTTTCATTATTTGCGAAGAAGACAGTGACCTCAATGATATCTTGAATATTTTCAATAATTGTCACCCATCAATCCAATTCACCTTAGAAGCAGAGAAAAACCAGGAATTTCATTTTCTTGATATCCATTTAAAAAGAATGCCTGACGGTTTATTACAGAGATCGATATACAGAAAACCCACTTGGAATGGACAATACACGAACTTCCACAGTTGGGTTCCATTAATTAGAAAAAGGAACTTAATTCATTCTTTGTCCTCAAGGATCAGACGAATTTGTTCCGACGACACAATAGATGGGGAACTGTTTTATCTTCGACAGACCCTCATCAAAAATGGTTATCCACCGAGATTCATCGACAGAAACTTGGTACCTAGACCTCATGACAAAGCTTTGACAGTAGAGAAAAAAACTCTATTCATGAATATGGAATTTAAGGGACATACAGCTGCTGAAAT